AGGATAAGACTGAAATGAAGATGCGAGAAATATTCATACCATCTTATCATAGCCGTCAATCAACTGCGAATAATCAACAGCGCCATTTCTTTCCTTCTTCGAGTTCCCCACTCTCTCCCCATCCCTCTCTGACCTCCTCCGCTCTCGGGGCGACAAACTCCTACTCCTCCTCCTCCCAGACGTTCGATCTCGACGCGGCGACCTACTCCTACTCCTCCTCCGATCTCTACGTGGCGACCGACTCCTGCTTCGCCGCCTCCTTCTCTCTCTATCTCTGTCTCTGTATCTCTCTCTACTCCTACTTCTGCTTCTGCTTCTGCTTCTGCTTCGCCTCCTCGAATGCCTATCCTTGTCTCTGCCTCTCTCCCTCTCCCCGCTGCTTCTCTCCGAGACCCTATCTTCTCTTTCCGGCTTCTTCTTTAGCTTATTTTGAATGGATTGAAGTTGAGATTCTTTCTCGAGCTTAGAAGCGGTGGCAGGGCTTGAGGCCCTAACGAAGCTGCTGAGGAAGGACGACGACGAAGACGAAGAGACAAAAGCTGAGCTTCTTTGCGGAACCGCGTCGTGTTGATCATCGTTGGAGGAGAAGCCGAGGCCTCGTTTGAATCTGGCGGCTCCTTCGCCTTTCCGCGTAAGCTCGTCGTAGTAAGCTACCGCCTTTTCTTCTTCCATTTCTGATTTTGGTTTGCTTTGCTAACTGAATTTTTTGGGGATCGGAATGAGAGCTGAGAAAGAAAGAGCAGAAGATGAAATTTCAATTTTGATGCGATTTCTTCCGCTATCAAATGGAACAGGCCAGCGATGGAAACTGCGACGATGTGGCTGTGGTTGTTTTCTCAGCGGACCTATTATGGATTACATTACATGGCCCATTAGTTAATAGCATGCCTATGGCCACGACTATGAGCTCGTTTTGAAGATTGTTTTGTGGCATGGCATTATGCTCCAATTCATTCGCTGATGTATAAGATTTTTTTTTTAATTTTGTCTAATTATTAATAACTTTATACAATTTAATTATTTTAAAAAATCAGCAAGTAATGCAGACGTGACTTTATACAATTTATTAATTTTAAAAAAAAATCTTAAAACTCGGGAAAGAATTATCAAGTGCTAAGCATAAGCCTGAGTTAGAACATACATAAATGCATATATTAGTTTTCACTTTCCCAGTACGACAAAAGTTTACTCAAGCAAGTCAATGAAAATTATTTCAGATTTGATCATTTGATTTTACTATTACTATTATTAATTTTGGATTTAGATCTAAAAGTTTGAATTCTTAAATATAAAATTATCCAAGTACATCTTAAAATTGTTCAAAAGTACTATTATCAATTATATATTTTATAGCATGGCATTGTACTCGAATCATATTATTGCATATTTTACATAAAAGTAATACTAACAAAATCACAAACACATGATTATAGAGTGTAGGTTGGATATGTTAATTTTATATGTAGATTGAATACCCATTGATAGCGAAGCATGATTAGGCAACGCCATGATGAATCATTTTCTATATTATATATCCATTGTCTATTGAATTCATTCATAACTTAATTATAAAACCGTGTAGAAGTTTAGAAGATTAGATTTTAGTTAATAATTAATACTAACAACTTAATAATATACATTATATAATTGTTAAATTAATACACCTAGAGTAGCATATGAAAATAAATGATATTTCGAACCAAATCAACAAGATGAATTATGACATAATATTTAAAATTTTTTAAATTGTTTAAAAAAATTAAAATATATTCTTATATTTTTATTTGAACTAAATAAATTAGTAATTGACTTAATCAAAACATCATTTATCATTCTATACTACATGTTGTTGATGTGACATATTAATACATGATAATTGATAATAATATGGTCATATAATATTTTACATATAAAATAACAAGTGGTAGTTTGATTAACGATAATTAATTAAATATTAATTATGAAAACTTATTTGTTCAAAAAAATTTATGAATTTGATTGGATGTAATAAAAAAATTATTTAAAATTTTTTAATGTTTTAAGAGTTTATTTGGTTATTATGTTATTAATTATTTATATTCAAAAATTATATAATAATATATTGTTGAGATTTAATCAAATATAATATAATATATTAGTTCATATAAATTTTTTATTAATATTGTATTGTATTATACAATACACATTATGTATCATGCAGTGATAACTATACTACATAATATTAAAAATTAATACATAATCTTTACAAATTTTCTATTTTATTTGATCGGAAATTAAACAGACTTCAAGAAAATTACGTAGGTTCTTCTAGCATGCTATACGAATTGGCAATTTCAAGATTCCCCCCTACTCTTTGAAATGAAAGGACAAGAAAGCCTCAATTCGTCTCCAAGATCTGTCCTCTCATCTGATCCGTTGGATTGGATTCTCAAATCCGCACCTGCCATCTTTTATCATCATCTGAAAAAGAGAGCAAAAAAAAAAAAGCGAGGGAGCGTAAACTCCGAAGCAAATCCAAACCCAAATCCAAGAGATCGTATCGGATCGGGTAGCTTTTCATGATCACATTAGTTAATTTCGCTGGAAAATTAGAGGTATTTAATAGGATTAAATGAGAGTATTAAAGATCTGACCCATCACGAAAATGGAGGCAAAAGGAAGATTGCGAAAAGAAAAAAAGATCTTTCAACTCTTTGTTTGTTTTTTTGGGCCTTTTGGCGTTGGAGATGGAGCCATTCGTCAGTCACCGTATGCTCAATGTAATGGAAAAAACGATTATGTTGTCCGCCTATAAAACGGTGCGTATAGGTCTTGCAGAATTGACGCTCAAGTACGTGACAGAGGGGGCTGGGAGTCAGGCGGCTTTCTTTCTCCTTTTGACGTCGCCGTCGGTTTGGGCTTGGGAGGACTTAAAAATCATAAATGTGGTCGGTTGACTAAGATTCACCATATTGACCATCGGTCAAGAAGGATTTCTTGTTCAACTTGTTTTAAGCTGCATTTATTTTACGTCCAGATCATAAATTCAACCTGAATAATAATAATAACAAATTTAATTTATTTAAATTTTTAATTTTTAGATGACATTTAGTATAAAAAAAATAAAAATATTTTTTTTATAATGTGTTCAATTAAATTAAATTACAATCAAGAGATATAATATAGTTACAATTCAAAACTAATACAATCACCTTACATTACACTTTATAATATTCTTAAAGATATTTTTACTCTTTAACTTTATTACTTTATTAAAAATATTTTATAATA